CATAGGTGTTTAATCCAATGACGGGTAATGATAATGTAAAGCGCAGAGAGGGCTTTCAATATGTGCTATATAAATCTATAATTATTATCTACCATTTAAGAGAGAGAAGACAACACATCTGCGAGCAGTGAAGCCTACCATTTAGCTTGTACAAGACACTAATAATAAGGTTGCACAGCACCGGAAAATGATGATGATGGTGTGGTTTGATGGTTAATATGCCTGCCTTCTAATCCCAGATTCTTAACTTGATATCTGCAATGTTGATTGAATGGAGTTCTGCGATTTAGTAGTTGAAGATGCTCGTCTTTTTAACCAAAGTCCTAGGTTCAATTCCTGCAATGTTGATAGAGTGGAGCTGTGGTTTGGTGATTGAGATGCTTGACTTCAAAACCAGGGTATTGTGTTTAAATCATACATTCCATTTTTTTTTCTTATGAGTAAAAACTACTCTACAGTAGAAACTATCAATAAAGCATAGCAATGTTGCATCCTGATCACCAGTGTACATACTTTAACATTGCTAATATTGTTTTAGTAAACATTTACAGTATAGTAGCAGTGTTTTAATAAGACCCTTGAGCACTATTGAGGTAAACATGTACAAAAATATTCAAGAGTAAATAAATCAGAATATGTTCACTATGTTACATGATTTTTATAGATTATAATATGCAGAAATCATCATAGTCTACATTAGCTTATCCATATTGCTGTTTATGTAAGTGCAAGTAAATGCATAAACTAGAGTGATGCAAATGTTTTCTAGCACTGGCAGACAAACACACACACATTATCTCACTATTCTTCCCATCTTTGTTCAGTAATTAGTTGGTAAGAGTAATTGGATATCCTTTATTAATTATGAATTAATCAATGAAGGGTGAATACTCATAGCGACAAGATTAAAATTCAGCAAAAATATACAGCATCCTTGAATGAATCACAATTTTTAACCCTAGACAGCTCATGTGGAGGACCCCATGACAACTGGTAGTAAGCATGCCTAGTGAGCTTAGTACATACTAAAGTTCTGTGAAAGCATTTGTATGTAGTATGTGGTAGCAGTCAATCAAGCCTGCAGGTTTACATAAAAGAATGCCAATGGGCTCAAAAAATATTATGGCATCATCAGATGAGACAGAGTACGTAATAGATGACTAAGTCCTAAGTGAATAGTATTGATATCTGTTCTATTTTTTCAAGGTGATAGGAAATATAAATTTTACAAATAACTTTAAAGTAAAAATAATCAACATCTACAGTATTGAGGGACGATAAAACAAAATGAGTGGTTGTACCTCCGCAACTGTCACAACCTCTTAATTTCAATTCTTGCGAAATTAGAGTTTGTGTGGGGAATACTTAAAACCGTTAAGTAGTGAAACCCATAATTTGTGAATATTCTATTTAAATTTCCATTCATTCTGGTGTTCTTAGGATCTGGTATTAAAACTATGGGTTGCAGCGTTGCCTGACATGGATTGTTGTCGATGACTGGTAATAGAACTTGTCATGTCTTGCTTTCTTGTGCAAATTTGACTGTACAGTAAACGAAGTATCATTTCCTGAATTGGTCTTTTTTTCCACAAAGTAAAACTAGATATTTTGGTAACAAATTTAATTCTAGATCTGAGTGGAGTCACCCCTACTTCACATACTGTAAGCAGTGTTGTGTTTTGGCCTTCACTTTATTGAAAAAAAAAATATTCATCGAATGGTTATTAATTTGAGTTTCTTTAATTAATTTTTTTTATAATTTTATTTTTTCTTGAGGGCCAGAATAATTTGCTTCACAGGCCAAATATTTTAGACCACGGGCCGCCTATTAAGAACCAGGAATCTATGTACATTGAGTACAATATATCTTTTCATATTTATTCAAAAATTGGTCTATCTATTAAACTTTTTATGGTCGAATAACAAAGAGACATACAAACAAAATTGTTATTAGGAATGGTTAATTAGCAATTAATGTTATTTATGTCATTGATTTCATTACCTGCAAATTGTATCAGGTACTATAACATATTTTGGTATTATTCGAAGATTGGTCAAATTATTTAGAATCACTGTATAACCAATAACATATCTGAGTCACAAAAGCATCATGATCTGTTACTTGTGCCAATAACTAAAAGCTGAAGGTAATAAAATGTAGTATTGTAACATAAACTAATGACCCAGTGAACTCATTAGTAGTTGTTACACACACAAAATCAGCGTTAGATCATTACATCCCTATGGAAATTGTGCTTTAAATACTTACTTCTCCAGTTAATGGCTGATCCTGGATCTGGAAAACAGAGAACCAGAAAGGAGGGAAGAGGAAGGAATTTCATGGGTGTTAGAATTTTCCCACTTTCCAAACATAGAAATTGATTAAACAATAAATGTTTCCAGAAGAAGCCAGTAAGCATTGCTAACTTCCGATCACTTTTTATTACTTTACTGAATAATACTTCTCTTAAAATAACACACCACGAGGCATTTATTTTTTTCTCGAATAAACGAATCAAACAAATATAATCGAAGCAACCTCATTCTCAACATATTCTATTAAAGTTCTACTCCAGTAGAATTTCATATTTTCTAACATGGTACTAATCAATAGTCTGCAATAAAACATTTTGACAATAATTATGTGTTGTAATTCCACATTTACAGTTAAATTAAGGGGCATTCATTTGAGTATACATATCCATTTCACACCAAAAAAAAAAAAAAAACATAAATGCCTCCCTCAAATAAACACCTCCCTCAATTAAATTTCCCCTCCAAAAAACCCTTCTTAACAATAAATGCCCAGGGGCACTTATTTGAATAGATACGGTATCATAGTTATTCATTGTCTAATGATTGATGGTGAACAACTTTAGACTGTCTTCAGTTTCAATGGCAAATATATGACTGATAATTTGTTGTTTTATGGTTTTTACATTTGGTACACTCATCATATGGTCCATGTATATCCAATCATATGGCTGCTCATATGTTTTTAAGTTTATATTATAATATATAATTAAATCAATTTGCATAGTATATATGTATACATATATACAAAATATGCATAATTATGTGCAGTTAAATGTTCAATCAAATAGGCAATATAGTACATTTATACAGTTAGATCTGACACAATCTTATCACCGAAATAAATACCTAAGTACCAGAGGGACTCTATGTATGGCCTGCACAACTTTTTCTTAATCAAAGTAAGTGAACCATGTATTGCATGTTCAGATACAACATGTGATGTGAAGCGCACTTTGAATGGTATTTTTTGTGGTCATGTAGGGCCTAACTAAAGCGTAAAAAAAGAACCTCAAAATGTAAATATGCCTACTTTACACTAAACATTAGCTCATTCATCATTGTTCTTTCTTTTTTTTTTTTTTTTTTAATACTTCTTAGTTTAATTTTCAAATGTCCTCCAATATCAAGAGCAGCGCTTGTGATGGCCCCCTTTTCACTTAAATGAAATGTGAAACAAAGATACTATTTGACGATACGATACGATATTTATTTATTTATCAAAATAAATAAAATACAATATGAACACCTCATGAAGAATGATAAAAAGTTGAGATACTGATGGAGGAGACACAATGAAAAGCAAATAGCCTGTAAAAGTTGTACCTAGTGTGGAATAAGAGATTGATTTAATTAATTGCCATAAATGTTTTTTCGAATCCAATGGTATTTTCGATAGTAGACCTATTAAATTTGTTTATTTAGGCCCCGGAAGTAATGCTTTCCTAAATACCGTAATGAAATTCTAGAAATTATCATAAAACTACTCCTCCTAATGAGTTTTAAAAACTATCGTTTTGAAGTGAATTCCTTTTATTTAAAACTTTGTTCGTTAGACTTTTTTGTTATTAGCGAGGTGTCTAAGTTTTACTTAACATAGGCCTACTCTATTTTAATAGTAATTTTACCATTGTACAGTAAGTGGAATGAGGTTTCTTCATGTTTGGATTATTGAATAAATTTAAATGAAGTGCCATTGAGCTGAATGGACCTTTCCGCTAAGCTCCGCCCCTTGGATATTGTTGCTAAGGTCCCACAAGACGCGTCGGCAGTCTTGTGGGACCTTAGCAACAACATACGTGAACACGTGCGTTTGTGGGACAACAAGTTTGATTGACACTCTGGAAAGGTCTATTGCGTATGGGGTAACAGTATCACACTCAGCACTGACTCCGGTACTTACCCGAGAAGGCTCTTCCACTCGCGATCGCCTCACCCCAATAGTTATGACGTTAGGTTATGACGTCATCGACACTAGACCATCGTTTCAAGGACATTGTATAAATTGACATAAGAATTTAAAATAATTTTTTGTATTGACAGGTTAGAAAAAATAGTAAAATAGTAAAATAGACCTATACACGAATATTATGTTAATTGACTCAGGATATTTGCAAGGTAATTGAAACTTTAGGTGTGACGGGAGGTTTACAATCATATATATCATTTAGTTCACAAGTTCACTCATTCCTAATATTATCTGCGTTCAAGGCCCTGAGGAACAATCTGTGTTCAGTAAACTATGAACAATTATTTCCGACCTATTAACACAGTTTGTTTCATGGTTATTGTCAGTGTTAAATTATGTCGTCATAAAACTTTACATTTTTACAATTAATTTTATCTTGGCTATTACCGTACTTACTATACAGTTTATTCAAATGAGAAGATACTAACCCATATGAATTTAAAACAGTGATGACTGTGCATATAGGTTTATTTTTGTATTTGTAAGAAACCCAAAAATAAAAAACCCCCCCCCAAAAAAAAAAAAACGAGCTCTGAGAGCATTATGGACAAGCCTGTCGTGTTATTCCTTTAATTTTATGACCAAATATAATTTAATTATCTGTATTCTTCGATTCTCATACAATTACTGTACAGTATTTACTTTAATATTCCCTGGTTCCCGTTACCAGTCAATGTGGCGCTCACTGGCAATTTCTAATTGAGGGCGCTTTGTGACACAAAATCAGAGAGCTAGCTTAGCCTAGGCTAGCCGCAAGAAGAGCAGTGATAATATCTTGGTTTTATTTATTATTTGATTACAATAAAATGGCGGGTTTATATACCAGGTATGCATTGCAAACCATGTGTTTAATTGTAGCCTATGAGTTGTTGTTATTACTATTTTGTAGTGCTCGGACAGAAACAATGCGAAACAACCATACCGTGTGAAACTCCATCTAGGCTGGGCTGGATTGGAGCACAGCACGCGAGAGGCTTGTCTAGCATAGGGACCCACGGAGGGGTTCACACCACACCGTAGGCCTAGACCTATATTTCATCTAGAATTCGATCCAACTCGGCCACAAGTCAACTCGGCCACAGTCAACTCGGGCACAAGTTAACTCGGCCACAAGTCAACTCGGCCACAAAAAGTTTGGCTACAGTCAACTCGGCCACAAGCCAACTCGGCCACAAGTCAACTCGGCCACAAATCAACTCGGCCACAGGTCAACTCGGCCACAAGTCATTTACTGGTACTACAATTTGAAGGAGTAATTCATCAAGTATTATTGTTATTATTATTGCTGTTATTATTGTTGTCATTGTTGTTATTGTTGTTTTTATTACCGTTTAAGTTTTAATATTAATTATTAGTCTTAGCATTAACATTATATATACGGTATTGTTCAAATTCTTGCTGATATTATTATTACAGTACCATATAAATAATAAATAATTTTCGATTTATTATTATTATTATTATTTATTAGTCTTAGTATTATTATTTTAATAATAGTAATTTAAAAAGTTATTGTTGTTGGTGTTTTATTGGTATTTTTCTCATATTATTATTATTATTAATATTATTATTGTTGTTGTTGTCACCTTTATTATCGATATTATTACCCTATTATTACTAAGTAGGCCTAGTATTTAAGTATCATTATTATTATTATTACTAATTAGTATTACTATTGTTATAAAAATAAACATTATCTTTAATTTATTATTGTTGTATTATTGCTATTATCACCTTCAATATTGTTATTATCACTAATTAGTTATTAAAATTGATATTTAAATAATTTCGTTATTGTTACCATACTAGTATTATTACTATTAGTATGGTTAAAATAAATATTACTATTAATGTTGTTGTTGTTGTTATCACCTTTATTATCGTCATAATGACTAATTAGTATTATTAAAGTAAATATTATTAATTTATTGTCGTTATTGTTGTTTAATATTATTGTTGAAGTAGAATGTTGTGAGTAAACAGAAGACAAACACATTAATAAATAACTCTTTTTAATTCATAGGCAATAATAGCATTCAAATCTCTTTTGGTAGTGTGGTGGTCCTGTTTTACTAAAATATACTGTACTTTATTTTAATCATTATATTGAAGAAAAAGGATGCAAAAACTACAGAGATTTATATTAAATATCTTGTGGCCGAGTTGACTTGAGGCCGAGTTGCCTTGTGGCCGAGTTGGCTTGTGGCCGAGTTGGCTGTAGCCGAACTTTTTGTGGCCGAGTTGACTTGTGGCCGAGTTGACCTGCACCCTTCATCTAGACCTAGACAATCGAGTGCATAGGTTTCGGCCTAGATCTAATATAAGATGCTTCGCTATCCTGTATTTCTGTAGATTCAAATTTGTTCTTGTATTAAAACGTATCATATTTGTTTTATAGGTATCCGTTGTATGTGGCAGGGAACCCTCAACTCCGAGTGTTTTTTCCAAAGTTTTGGATGAAATTAGTGAGAGGACGGGAAACAACTCCTCCCAATGTTGTTACTTTTCAGTGTCCGGTAGAGTGAGTATCTTAATATAGTAGTAGTATACAATGAACCAAATATATATATATATAAAATATAGAAAGACAGCAATAAAAAACAGCTATGAGTTGTAAACACATACTAGAAGCAATATAATTTATTAATTCACAGATATTTCAAACACTCCTGTGTTCTTCCTCAGTGTGAGGACAACTGACAAAAAATACAAAGTAAAGCAACACTCGCACATGAAACAAAAACAGAACATCGAATCAGCAGTAAAGAACAAAGGCACGTAATAAGATGCGCATCCTAAACGTTCTACTTAATATGGAATAAACAAAGTAGATAAAAGCTGGATAAAGGCCTAGGAACCAAGAAAAAAATTAAGTATATATAAATGAATAGTCTGATAAGTATGGTTCCGTCTTTATTTAAACCGTTAATATAAGAATTGGTTCTAAGAATCCACTTCAATTCTTCTTTGCGTCTATGTGAGAGGGATAAAAATTTATTAGCGACCAAAATAAATCTTATGTCATTAATGCTATGGTTAGGTAGATTGAAGTGACAGGCTACTGGGAAACCAGTGGAGTTGTCTCTGACGGTTTTTTGGTGATTATTAAATCGGAGGCGGAATTTAGTGCCACTCTCTCCAATGTAATTACCAATTTGACATTTGTTACAAAATAAAATGTAAATAACGTTAAAAGAATCACAAGTAAGTGGAGGGGGTCTAATAGTAATATTAGTACTAGGAATAGTGAATGTGTCAGAGGTGCACATGAAATTGCAAACTTGACATCTGGATTTACTACATTTAACATATATATACCGTAAAATACATGAAATCAAACAATCCCATTAATAGTATTAATATTGATTAAAAATATTGTGTTGTGGTTACAGACATTTACCCCCAGTTTTGAAATTTTAAACTTATCTTATATTATCCGTTCCCAATTTTTTAGTCAAACACCTCTTCAGTGTCTTTAGTTGTACAACATCAACTTTTGTTTCCTTCAGAGCCTGGGTTATACAACCAGACATTTATGTGATAACATTAATGAGTCATTTCATTTTCCGATTTCTAGAATGACCAAGTTTGATATACAAAACTACCTGGAGAAGATTTATGGTGTGGATGTTGCCCAGGTAAACACTTTCATCAAATACATTGGCCTACAACGAGACCATCGTAACCGGAGATTTAAACCAAAAGATGACTACAAAATTGCATTTGTAACACTAGTAAGCATTTATTTGATTTATTCAGGTACAATTGCAAATATTTTAAGATATCTTGTTATTGTCAATTGATTGCTGTTGGATGTGGTTTTTGAAATGAATAAATGAATGAATGAAACAAACAAACAAATAAATAAATAAAATTAACTGTACCCAGTAAGATAAGATACACTTTATTGCTCCAAGTCGGAAATTCAGTTAAATTCATTAAAATACAGTAAAACAATTAAAAGAATGATCAAATATAATGAACTATAAAAATTACAATGTAAAAAAGAAGCTGAAATTATTGCATTTACAGTTTTGAAATATTGATACATGAAAGTGTACATGGGATGCATGCTTACAAATATATACTGTAGCAAGCATCCCCTGCTACAAGTTTGTAACATTTACACGTCCAAAAAACATTTTGTTTTGTGAGAATCTGGTAGGTATCTTGGTATCTCTCAGATTGACAATATAGTCCAACAATTTCACTATCATGTTCAAATCCTGCAGTCATGACTACCAGTAGATATGCTATTTTTTATCAGCTGTCGCAGAATTTGGCTCAGTGGTGTATGCTTATTGTCGACATAGTATACTCTTTATAATCCGTTCTGTTTACAATTAAATTATCTTCTCATTGTCTAGGCTGCAGGTCAGACATTCAAATTTCCTGACCTATTCCCAAAAAAAGAAGATTCAGAGGAGAAAATAATTGAAGAAGTAAAACAGAAGCAAAAGGAAAGTGTAAAGCTAATGAGAAGCAGAGGAGGAGTGCCGAGCTGGTTTGGTATATGACACACCAAAGAATTATCAGTGTTGAAGTCAGGAAAACCATATTTTATTGACTATTGCTTGTTGTCAAGGGACCACTAAGAATGGTGGAGTAGATTTAGCAAGAACACATGAAATGAATGCAGATGAGGAATGGACTGGATATGGGAAAAACTGAAGTTAAAAAGTTGGATGCAGTGGCATGTCTAGGAGTCTTGAATGGGGGGAGGACTGTTGGAGGGCATGAAGGTGAAGTGGGGCCTTGATGATTAGGTGGGGGACGCAGTTGCTCACGAAATGAGGTGATTTGGGGGGGGGGGGGGCGACGGGGGCGCCAACCACTGGGGTTGTGCGCAAGTATTTGTTGGAGAACTGCGCACACCCTTGATATGCCACTGGTTGGATGCGGACTTCCTTTGGAAATTATTGTTTTTCGTAGAAGTTTAGAGGCATTTTTATTTGGGATGTTGAATACAAGGTTTGAGCAATCAACATACCATGAGCCTTTCCTGGTAAACGATACCGGCACACTAAATACTGAATGTTTAATTATCTTCACATCTGCAGACTTGATAGTGGTGTTTTGAAGTGCTTGAATTGGTGCTTGATTCGTTGAGTAAACACAATTTTTTTAATAATGAGACTGATACCTTTTGCAGACTTTTTAGTGTTATACATATTATTACAGTATTAATTAAATCACAAGAGATTCACCCAAGGCAAGTGTTGTAGCAGAATATTGACTAATTGAATTGATAGTTGAAAATTGTGACACAGTATCTCTTCTTGAAAATCAATGTGAAAAAGTGAAATACAGTACTTCGAATTTCTCTCTTTTAAATATCATTAGTAAACTTCTTCCAACTTGGTAATCATGACCTGTAGTATACAGTTAAACTTGCCTAAGTCCACTTTGCCTAACTCAAATAATTTTAAGTCTATCTTATTTTACCTGCCAAATTGTTGTTTTCCATTCAATAACAATCTGCAAGTCAAACTTTATCTTCAAGTCGAATCATTTTTCAATGGCATTTTTGATTTGACTAATAGGCAAGTTCAACTGTATTATCAATATTTTATATAAGGTCATGTATTTTAAGTCACCAGAAATATTTTGAAAACCTCTCAACCTAGGTCAACAAGATAATCTGAGATTACAAACACTTTCCCTGCCATATCAATGTGAAAATTTGAAGTAAATCGGTCCGTTTTTGAGTTAAGCACCTGGAAGTACGTACACAGACGCACGGTATTGCACTACCCTTCACAATGGTAATTATAATATATGTGGTAAAGACAAGCCAAACCAGTCACTCGTCGCAAAAATCGATTTTGAGTTATTAATACAGGGTTAAAGAGTAAAATAAGAGTTATAAAATAGTAAAAAAATCATTCAAATCGGACATTTCCTTATGAAGTTACAAGCATTTAAGCATACAGCTGTTTAAAGAACAATATATGAGAAATCAGCCTTCAAAGTTTATGATTTCAGGCATTTCTCATGCAGAAACTATCATAAAATCTTTAAAAAGTGTTGTTTTAACATTAACATTGGGAAAAATAACAGCACAGCATGATTTATAGATACATAAAACTCAGTTTAGTGAAATAAAATAGATTTTTTAAATTTTACATTCTAGCATGTTTTTGCTATTTTCTCTGAAACACAATTTGCGACGAGTGACTGGTTTGGCTTGTCTTTGCCACATATTTGGTATTGTTTGAAAGCTGATTTAATATGCTATATCCCTGCAAAGTAAATTGTTTGAGCAACAAAATTAATGAAATTCTAACATCCAGTGAAATTTTTTTTTAATGATACTGTCAAAGTTTCACAAGGTTTTCATTGGATTGGATAAAATACATCCAAATTCAACCATTGAGCTTACAACTTGGAACCACTTCATAAACATTTAATCTGATGACACAATTCTAAATTAAATACAAATTATTTAAATGATAATAGAAGTTTCATTTGGTTTATTACAAAATAATTGTTCACTGTCAACATAAAGCACACCATTATCAGTGGTGTTGGTACCCATAATTCCAGTAAAGTATTCGCTAACCTTAGAACATTTTGAATTCTGGTATAATTCTGTTGTTTTCAGGATACTGCTTAGGTACCTAAAAAGAGAACAAAAAAACAAATATAATATTCACTATTTCCCCTTATGGAAGCGGTTTGGCGCAGTTGGAACGGTTTGGTTTCCCAACCTCGAGGTCGGGGTTTCAATCACTCGCTGTGCATTTTGCTTGTGTCCTTGGGCAAGACACTTTATCTGCATTGCTTCTCTTCACCCAGGAGTATATGGTAACCTGGTGGGATTACCCGCTCCTGCGCTGATTACCAGCAGGAACACTTAGCATATGGACCCAATGACCAGGAAAAAGAACTGCGCTTTATAACCACAAGGAAGAGGCGCATTATAAATAAACCCTTTATTGTTTTTATTATTCTATCATATTAAAATCATTATTCATGATTTTATTATCACATCACCATGCCCAATTTCATCATTATTTTTGTTTTTAACTTTCCCTTTTTTATTTTATAAACTAATGTTTTGTCTGGTTTTTGCTTTACAGGCTCTACTGTATCCATTTTACATTTTTGTTTAGTTGCAGATCATTTTGTCAACATTGAGTTTTCACACTTTGGGCAACTCCCAAGCATGGTTTTCAAAAGGCTTGCAGTTTTTCTATTATACAAATCTTATAATTTTCCAATTTATTACTACTGAAAATGTATCATTATTCCTTTATTTTATCCATTTTCATTACATTTCACTCACATTATTATTATTATTATTTTATTATTTGAAGGTACTCACAACAGGTGGGAAAAACTTGTAAAATGATCCAAGCCAAAATAAGAAGCCAAGGGTTCCCAAAACAGCGAAAAACATGCCTGCTTGTTGAGTACTAAAATAGAAGCAAAAATAATATTGTTAAAGAATGACATTTGTCATATTGGATAGTGGCAGCAATGGTGAATTTAAAATTATTTTTTTTCAAATGGGAGAAAAAAAATAAAATTATCAAATTTAAGTCTGAGAGTGCCATTTCCAACCATCTGGAGGTGCTATAATCATAACTTTTCTTACCTCAGTCCCAACCATGGTGGGGGCGAGGTGGATGGAACCTCTATTTGTGAAAATCCCTCCCTGAGCCCCCCTATTACAAATTCCTGGATCCACCACTGAGTACATATAGTGGCACTTAGACTTCAAACTATTAATTTCATTGAAGTTAAAATTGTTTTCCAAACAATCAGGCTGTAACAGCACCCTCTATACTACTTGTATAAACTTTCCAAAGATTCTAAAACAAGAGTGTCCGCAATTTCTGCATGCATATTCTGTAATAACGCAGTGTAGGGCATCTTCGCAATTACAATTACTTTTCAACTTTGACATCAATTTTTCCAAACTACCAGGCTGTAACAGCACCCTCTATACTACTGTATAAAATTTCCAAAGATTCTAAAACAAGAGTGTCTACAATTGCATATTCTGTAACAACGCAGTGTAGGGTGTCTTCGCAATTACATTTACTTTTCAACTTTGACATCAATGATTTTTAACTAAAGATTAACGCATTCCGCGATTTCTGCGTGCAAATTCCATTGTAACAACTAGGATGCCCTATTACTTTTTATGCTTTTTGTACTGAACATCAACGCTTCTACTTGTTAGGCTTAAAAACATGAAAAGCGCTATCTTGTTATTATAAGATCTTTGAGGCTTTCTCACTTACTGGGAGTATTTGTATTTCTTTGTACTGTTGGGTGTATATCTCTTGAGAAAATCCTCTTCTATGTGTAGCTGTGAATATATAGTACATAATACACATTACAAAATATATATACTGCAAAAAAGCAAACTAATCAATCAATCAATCAATGACAAAGTGAAGAGCGAGCTAGTTAAGGTGGGCTTATCAATCTAATTCTAAACCAAATATTTCTTCATCGTATTCTTTCAAATGTCAGCATGTAATAATAGTGACAGTCATATGTATAGAGTAGAGGAAGTTAATGTATCATTCATATAAGTAGCACAACCAATGGCCAATACAACAGCAGTTATATTTACAGTAATCCTATTAAAGTGGTTGGCTAGATGTAGTAATTTTCTAGAGGAATTATTCTTTAATATATTACAGTAATGCATAAGAAAATTTCATTAAATAATCTGACCTTTTCATCTAGCTAGTAAACTATTATTCATGATACAACTGTACAAATAAAAGCTTATTATTGGATTAAATCTTTATCCAATGTACTTACAAGCTCTCCATAGTTCCTCCTCTCTTCTGGAAAATCCCAGTCAGCATGAGGATCTCTGGAGTCCTGATGGATTTTTTCCATTTTAGGATAATCTCCCCAGCCTAATCCATCATCTGGATAGGGTTCGTAATCTTCCACACGGATGTTGTATTTCTTAGCAGCAGCAATTCTTTCTTCTTCTGTCTTGGGATAGGCACCAGGCATTCCTCTCTTGGTACTGTCTCCAAATGATGCTATTTAAAAATGAAATCCAACAACCATCAACATAAATAATTTCATAAATAATGATCATCTAACAAAGGTGCATTTCTTGAACAAGCACACCATATCAAACATTAAGATTTTGCTAACAATGAAAACCTTTTAATTAATTAATTAAAAAGGCCTGAATACTGTATAGTAAGGCCTGCGTGGGGAATACAGTATATCCTCCGCACAAGCATTTGGCCTAGAAATCTGTCTGCGCATTTCAGAAAATAAGGGCCGATTTCTGCGCACATTTTGCTGAAAATTAGGCTTTGAACAAATCTTTAAAATACAAAACCAATTTGAATTTGAATTTGAATTACTGTATGCAGCAATTACAATTCCGCGCACCTATTTTTCGAGCAAATTTGAGCTTATTTTTTAGATATTCTACGCACAATTAAAAAAACTTTACAGTATGGGCATAGCCTACTGTATATACACTACAGTGTACTGCTACTATACTAGGCCTAATAAGTACTCAACTATCGTATTAGTACTACTATACTAATAAAACATACAACTACAATGTTTAATCAAACTTGGTGAAACATATGACCTAGCTAGAGCCATGCCTAGGTGGTCCATATCACAATAAATGTCTCTGAAAAATAAATCTGCACCTGCACTAGGCCTAGTCTACATTGACCATGTAATGGTCAATGGTCGTATATTTATATAGCGCCCTCCACAGAAAAACGTCTCAAGGCGCTTTTGAAGCCACATGAAACAAAGGCAAAAGAACGCGAAGGGGGGGGGGGAAGTGCACCCGATTTTGAGATAGCATCGCCATCACTACCGTGTACAGTACACGTAGTAGGGAGGCCTAAATTGAAATAAATACTCAGTCACTGTCAGATGTGAGGTTCTGTGCAATATATCGTGCCTGATACAGGTACTATGCATAGCAGTCTAGGCTACGCTATGCTAAGCCCTACTAGTAGTAGCAGACGCTGTCCCAAGTGGTCTAGGACCCAGACTAGCCTAGGCCTAGTTAGAGCCAATCGGCCTCGGTCCTACTTTAGCCTCCCTGCCTGCTCGGCGCCTGCCTAGGCTCCTAGCTAGCTAGGCTAGGACTCAGGCTAGGACCTAGGCTAGGACCTGGGGATTAGGCCTATATTGAGCCTGTTATACAAAAAACTGATGTAAAAAGCAATGATAATCTACCACTCAAAATAAAAAAAGATTGATTTCTGACTCACATGCATACGCTTTTTGCAAAACTCGAACATTTTTCAGCAATGAAAGACGGAATAACTTTTGCGAGAACCGTCCAGCTACCGCCATCTTGCCGGCTACTTCGATTCAGTGCATGCGCCATCTAGAGTTCTGTGAATACAAATCAAAGGATACAAACTTTACTTGGGAAGTACTGAAAGTGGCTGCCCAAAAAAAATCATAAAATTTCAATAGCTTTTTTGAAAGGATCAAGTGAGTTATTTACTTGATCTGTTTTACAGACATTAATAATACAAAAATTATTAAATTGATTACCAGCTAATTTTGAATATCGTCATCATCATCATCATCATCTGTTTTCTCATCTTATAGGCCTAATTTCCGTTTTAAGGCCTGTTTATACTTCAACGATAACGATAAAAAAGCTAAAAAGCGATTGTTCATATAGAAAACAGAAGAAATAAGAGAAGTTTTTACACTAGGATCATATCTAGGCCTATATTTATTACTACAGTAGGCCTACTTCAGTCGGTGTTGGTTACTTCAGTCAGTTGGTGTTGGTTTTTGTTGATTACGCTGGCGCGCAACAACACATAAGGCTCGTGGTGAAATGATAGAATAAAAGTACAATCTTTTGGTATAGTTACCGTACATAGGTATTTGCGAATTTTATTTAAGAGTACATAATCAATTTAATGCCAACATAATATCCAACATAATAATAAATAATAACATATCGCACCTACAACAGTCATTAGTCATTCGGCAGAAAACGTGTTTACGAACTATCGAATACAGTATATTTTCAAGACTCCATAACAATAGCTAATTCTTTAGATTAGAATGCTATGTACGGCTGTCATAGTGTTAATTTTTTTTTTAAAAATTCATGGGAGGAAGGACACCACCTTCCCAAACCCACCCACTCGGAGCTTCGCACCAAGTGAGCCCCACCGCCTAAATTTAATCCTAGATCCGCCCCTGGGTTATTTGACGCAGAAATAATTTTTCCTGTACAAATTTTTAATCGTGAGTACCGGTAATAGCTTACCTAAACAGACACACTGATTAATTCAAATATGGAATTTAATTTTTATCTCATGACAGACAGTATATTTAACTTTATTGCCGTTTACCCCGGGTTGAAAGATGAGAGTATTTTGCCATGATGCCGCATATGCTATAACTGTATAGGCCTACTAAGCCTGGATTCAAAACCTAATCGAATACTCACTGCCAATACATCTATCATGAATCTGATATAACGGTAATTAAATTTTAATAAGTATATCAAGCTAGTTATAAAACTATTAATCATTTCGATTCGCTAATTGAAGGCTGAGCCGAGAATGATTGGACGTAAGATCATTCTATTATAATAGTCCTTGATTTCACATGCGCCACCGTAAACCGGAAATTGTGTTGAAATCGCAGGGCCACCGGTGACGGGGGAAATCCGCATCAAGAAGAGATCCAAAAGGGAATCGATTTCTTTAGTTAAAACCACTGTGCCTATGGGACCTATCGGCGACATCAATAGCCGACTTAAGGCAATCAAGTAAAGAGACATCGAGTTTCAAATATTCTAGAAAGTTGAGCAGAGTTTGAATTAAGATCGATAAGTCAACCGTAATTCAGCAGATGTACTTTTGTGGTCCACTCGCCTGAGTGATAATATGAATATAACAGTCGCCTGCCAAAGAAGCTTTTATTAAAGTACGACATATTGCGCATAACATGCGCAATGCAAGGATACTTTAAAGGGCACATTGACACGACAGCAGCAGCGAAATCTGTTAAAAAAACATTTAGCAGACTATACATAAAACAACCATATGACACAGGTCGTGACTTCATCGAATAGGCCTACATGCCAATATAAAGGGCGGATAAGGAGAGGACGGATTACCAAGTGCCTTAAAACTTTGGCTTTCACATTGACGATTTTTTCAAGTCTTCAGTAACCTTAGTTGTCTGGAAATACGTAACAGTTCTAGGACGGATGTCATAATAGTTTATAAATTTAATAGCGATGGAATTATGCACTTTTATTCCAGTAAATGAAACGACTTACTGAAATTATTATTCGCTAAATTATGACGTAGGACTATTAGTCAAATCATAATTCGGTATTCTTCGCCGTGTTTGTTGTTTTAAGCAGTTGATGTTGCAGCATACACTGAGGTATAGTGCAAGGACAATGAGAATAATTATCGGACTAGCATATAATGCTTTCTTTCTAATTACGATAAATGAATTCTATATTGCGTGTTGTGCACATGTCCGTCCCCTTCAAATATGACGAATTTTTTTAAAAGGCGATTGCTCTACTGATCGGTTGCAGACGTTTGAGTTGTACAAAACGAAACATTACGCTCAAGAAGATTCGATATGTCTAAGGAATTAAAAACTATAGGTTATTATTTTTGTAAATACTTTGAGGAAGAAGAATACTAACCGATAACTGTCACAATCATCTTGTAGCCTATGCCTACATAAAATATTCATATGGTACGTTCTGAGTGACATTCATTTCATTACAAGTTTTACTAAAATGGCAACAACGGTTGCATATACACAAACACAGGAGTTTGAAGAGACGTCGTCGACAGTAGATTGGGTGATCGTTTTAGAAGTTGTGCTTGGAGTTATTGGAACTGTCGGCAATTCTGTCATTTGTGCTGTTATTATTCGAGTTAAATCTATGCACTCTTTAACTAATTATCTAATCCTGAGTCTAGCAATTGCCGATCTTCTGTCCTCGATATTACTCATTGTGAACGTCTTTCCAGTTGAAGCTGCTTACCTAGATGTCCCTGATTCAGCGATTTTAGCGGAATTATTTTGCCGTTTTTACAACAATCTCTTTTTCTTTTGGGTCTGTTTGACAGCGTCAGTTTTTAACTTAGTTTGCGTGACGATAGAAAGGTTTTTCGCCCTTGTGTTCCCTCTGTACTACGAACGTCATTTCACGTCGGGAAAAGTTTGGGTGATGATAGCTGGCACGTGGGTTGTGTCCTTTATTCAAGAGTTTGCTGCTCCGTTCGTCAATTCTTATGATTCAGATATTCACCAATGTACATACGGGTTCCCAGACACGGCCTCACAACGATTGAATGGCGTCTTAATATTCTTAATATCGTACTTGATTCCACTTATCTTCATGATATATTCTTATAATAGAATTCTTCAAAATCTTAAGATTGACGCTGGGAAACAAAGTCCCATGAACGCAGCGCAGGCAATGACGCTTTTAAATGCACGCAAACGCGTCATATCAGTTTTGTTGATAGTACTAGGCGCTTTCTGTGTGCTATGGACACCAAATCAAGTTGTGTATCTATTCCAAAACTTTGATATAGAGTTGGTAGCCGTGTCGTCGGTATGGTATAAGGTGTTCAGACTGATGGCACAGAGTAACTCGGTTGTAAATTCGTTCATATATGGTTACAAGTATAAAAAGTTTCGCAAAGCAGTTAGATTACTATTTGGAAGATACTTCTGCTCCAATGAAGTGGGTTTGGATGACATAGGAACAACAGGTTCATTTTAGTACCGTACTCTTATATGTTTATAATTTCAATGTATTCCTATTTTTATAAAAGGACAAAACTTGGGATAGGGCTAGTTAAAAAAGCTAATTTATTTATTAAAAACATTAATTACTGTAGGCCTAAACGTAACGAAACAAAGTCAAATCTTTATCACAGTTAATGTATTTTAATACCTACCTAGTAAAATGATCAGAGAAATAGATAGTCCCTGCATAAGAAGCAAACGCCATCACACCGACTTCGTATGGTTGGGAAACCCACTTCGTTCAAAAGTTGAAAACTGTACTATTTAAATACTTGATTCAGGCAGGGATCATACGCTGCTAAAATCAAATTCCTGTCGTGCAGGTCTGACAGAGATTTATGACGCGTGTACTAGCTAAAACGCATGTACAACTATGCATACACAAACTTTCCACCCTGTTTACTATAAAACAAAGAGGCTTGTGCAGGTGGTAATATTTATTTGGACTTGCACTTGTACATCAGTGGCACACTTTGAAAAACAAAGGTGTGTCCGAAAAACAAAACTTATACAAATAATATTAGGCCTAGAAGATAGGGCCTACATCAAATTACAAGAACAGATAAAACTGCAGGTTTGGGTCATTATTAATTTGTTTTTGTCGCCCAGATTGTTCGATAATTCTTTGTCTACCTTTTGTATGTATAAGCTGTGAACATTTGTTAATATCCAGGAGATTTTCAAATTCTGGGAGAAAATGTGGAGTATCCTGGAGACAGGTGGATGAACCAAAATTGCTGGAGACTCCAGGGCAATTTAGTGCTCTTAGTGAGGAAATCGCATACCGGTACCGTGTAATCTTTGATTTTCTTCAACTTGATCTGTGATAGGGAACAATATTACGAACAAGTACTTCGGTGATGAATACTGTATTGATTTACAGTTCGTACAACTCATTGACGTTCGATATATTGCAATGCCTGTTGTACCGATACCGGAGCACCATATTAAGGTAAGTGTGGTACACCAGGATATAGGCCTATCATTATTTGAAAATGTATCACAGGGGGATCGAGAGATAATTTAAGAATTGTATTTTTCTTGTTTACAATTGTAAACAAGATAGCGGGACCGGAGTGTTTGGAATATAATATACTAAAGAAAATTGATATTTTGATAGGACAGAACGAGTAAAGTTGTAAATCACCTGTCCCAATGTGTGATTGGCTGCAATACCACGCGTTAACGTAAAAATACACAATACAATACGACGATAACCGTTAACTGGAGTACAATAAACATACAGTACTGCTATAGTCTTTCTTTTTCACGATGGCGGAGATAATAGCTAGATATTATGTAACTGTTAAGTGCTCTTTAATTAGATTTTCTCAATCGTTCACATTGTAACAATAATTAAATTTGTTATTTTAAAAATAGGTCTCATTGAATAATATCAGATGTACGGTACTCAAGTAACGTAATTGTAATCAAATCGCTATGGATCTCGATGTAGCATCAGTTTCTCTAAAAGTCAATTCAGATAATATAGGTATATATCAGATAATATATAATATATGTATAAATAATAATAGAAGTCGATCCAGATATAAAAGACACATACATACATACATACATATGACCCTGTCTCTTATACACATCTAGATGTGTATAAGAGACAGATTGTCGTTCATGAGACTCACTTCGAGAAAAAAATTAATAAATGTTCCGTATATACTCAAATGTTCGTCCTCGGCACCTTATGCCAACATTGTCAAAATGACAGATTAATGTTACATAAGAACATGAAATTTTATAGAATTCCTAAATTTTGAATTGCTATAACTTTTCATTTTCTTGGTCAATTTTCACAAATCAAATTGCAGTTTATAGAAGCATTTAACAAGCTCGCGGTCAAAAAAAATCAAATGTAACAGACATTGCGAAGTACCCAAAATTAATAAAATAAAAACTAACACCATAAAACGAATGGCACCCATAGACTAATAATTGACGGCTGTACTCGCAACTAGTATCGGTTTGTCGATGCCACAGTAAAGATCAAAGGACTGTACGCACGCGCTATGTTCGAGAGCGGAGATGTGCGTCCTTTTGTTGAATTACCTTGTCACAACTTACGTATGCATTTACTACATGGGATTCCTCTGCCTACAGCCGCCTACACATACGCCAGAAAAAAGCATTACGTTGTATCATTTGCAACGTCCACTATCAACATCCATCTTCACCCCTTTTCATAATCTACCTGTATTCTCAACATTTTTGGTATTTATCTTAAAACTGTTGCTACATTCATGTTTCTTTCCACCGTAAACTATTGCCATCTCTTTGACAGTTATTTCCAAACAGTAGAATCACACCACCAGTTGCGGATTCAGAATTTTTCTAACGGGGGTGGGGGGGGGGGGGGACACAACAGTTTTAGAATAGATGAGTAGCACAAAACATTGATTTGCATTGAAATTGTTAAATTTTGTGGCCCCTACTGGATCCGCCCCTGACCACACCACAATACCAGGAATAAAAACCAGCTTCGCATTAATTAAAAAAAAGAAAAAAAATAGGCCTAACAATGGAGAACCTACGGTACCAAGGTGTAAAAATATGGAATAATCTCTCACAGCTATTAAAATTTTAAAACCACATTTCTTCTTTTAATATTCAGCTCCATAATTAACTCACTAGTAAATAATTTAATTCTTTCTTTGAAATGTTTTTATTTTAACCCCGAAACCTTTTGTAGAAATACCGAGATGGTGTCCGGCGGGGTATAGATTTGCCTGTAGTTAAGTTGCCCTCCGGTTTTGTACGGGGATTCATATGTTAAAGCTGTGCTTGTTTTGAATGCCCTTTCCATTTCTTTTCAACATCTTTGTTCTTCATTTTTCCCACGTTATACTTGATTTGCATAGGTCTATTTCATATGAAGTTTTGAATTGATTTGGAATAAAATTTAATTGATACTTAAATACAGATTCGTATTCCTCGATAACAATGACATATCTTATGATTATTATGAAATATATAAACAAAAATGAAATACACAGTACATGATGCAAACATTATGATTTGTAATACTGTATAAATGAATAAACTATTAAAGAGTTCGGTATAAACGACTTTCTAGTACAATTTGAATTACACTTAACCGAGTTCTGCCAGAGACATTAACAACATGAGACTTAAAATTTTGTTTAAAAAACACATTAGTCTCATATATCCATTTCCTTATCGATTAGTTTTTTAGCACACAGTTCTTTAGATTGAAAAGAGTACGGTAATGTGAACTGTGTGAGGAATTGGTTAGGACTTAATAATTCATCGAACCGTGATAAATTTTATTCCAAAAGTGAAGGTGGTCTAGGAACAAGTACAGTAACCTCTTAACTTTTTTGTTCTTGTTTTCTAATTGTTATAGCTGAAGTTCGCCGTTTACCTGAATACTACCAGACTGGTGGAAACTATACAGAATATCAACATGGAATGGAGCAGCATCACTCCGCCGGCCCTATGCACATCACCACATTGTTAGTGGACCGTTTTAATTATATTGATATAAGAGTTTGTGTAGCTTTGTTTGTATTCAAACCGTAATTATACTGTAGGCCTACGAACTACCGAAAAACCAGCTTTCACTGTATACACTATTCTTGTACTACCTCTTCCGGTATGTTTTGTATACATATTATAACGTGACATTATGTAAGAAAATAGGTATTACAGTATTTGAAATGTTATGGGTATAATTATTACGTAAAAATACAGGTGTAAGTTAATTGTGTAATATTATGTGATAATATTTAATTGAAATACTGTTTATGAAAATTGTATGACACTTCTTCAGTTTCAATGCAAAATTGTGCTTTACAACATAACCAAATAAGGCAGTTGTAAATGAGCATGTGTATAGTTTAATGTGATAGTTATGTATATATGAAGATATTGCAACAGCAGTAGACTCAAAAAGACGATGGTTTGTAGGTTTATTTGGGTGTTATAGAAAAAAAGTTAAATGGTCAATTTTAAAAGGCCACATAGGTAAAAAAAGCATTATAGAATTGTGGTGTTCTGAACTTGAGTTGTAGAAATGTGATCATCTAGTGAATAATTTAATGAATGATTGACTATTTTGAGGAATATGTGTCTTGTCTTCAGGTTTGTCTTTGATGCATGCTTTGTAATGTTTATGAACTTATTTGATAGCAATAATGACTCATCATGTACGTCATTTCCACGTCACAAATGGTTTTTCTTTTTCAAATACTTACTAATATCGGTGTTGTTATATTGTTGAAGAATAATTAAATACCTAGAGAGAGTTGCATTAAATCAACAACTGTAGTATATCTGTCCATATAAAATGATGAAATTTCAAAATTGTACGATGCTATTTAATTCGTAAATTAAAAAAAACAAAAAAAAAAAACATTTAAGTGGGTGAAAGTGTAGTCACACCTCCATAAAAATAAATAAAAAAAAAATTAAAATAAAAAAAAAGGGAATGTGATGCATGCTTTGTATTTTTTATTAACTTATTTGATAGCAATGACGACAAATCATTATGTCATTCGTCTGTTTCCACGTCACAAATCGTTTTTCTTTTTCAAATATTTACTAATATCGGTGCTGTTATATCGTTGAAGAATAATTAAATACCTAGAGAGAATTGCATTATGAGAAAGAAACCCAAAAACATTCAAGTGGGTGAAAGTGTAGTCGCACCTTCATAAAAATAAATTAAAAATAAAATTCAAATAAAAAAAAAAGAAAAGGGAAATGTGTTAATGGAAACGTGTGGTGCAGCGTGTTAGGCATTTGGCTTTCAATCGGAAGGTTGGGGGTTCAAGACCTACGCTCATCACACTACTTGTGTACTTGGGTAAGCCACTTTACAAGTTAAAAGATACAAGTCAATTTTATTGTCAAAACAACAAATTCTGAGATATTTGCTGTACATAACATAGCCTCTCTTCACCCAGGAATATAAATGGGTACTTGGTAGGAGAATTGAGGAATTAGTTTAGAGTAGGAGATGAATGATTCGGAATGAATTAGTAACGCTGATTTCACGCATAATCTCCAGGGTCGAAGAGTTTGCATGACGTATTGTAGGACCACTAAAAAGTCATCTCTGAATGTGAGAACGTTGATTTATTGGTTACATTGCAGGATGCAGATCAACACACGACGTCTCAAAGCCCTGACCTGAGACTGGGTGTAAATCCTGAACAATGTCCACTGTACTAACCGCTCTATACATGTACTTATATGCATCAACACCTGTACTGCAATGCACATGTATATATTGTATGCAGTATGTCCATTTTTTAATTGACCCCTGTACTAACGCATCAAAATTACCATCTTAAGCAATTTATTTCTTCATTTAGTACATCTATTTTGTAGAATACGGAGTATATTCCAGTCTACTTGTATGCATGATCTATATGCAGTAAAGAAATGTGGACTTTTTAAACTAGCAACACTTGTAATTACAACCAAAACCTGTATTGCAACACCCTACACCTGCATTAAGATCCACCAACACCTGTATTACAACCGACACCAGTATTACAACGCACCAACACCTATATTACCACCAACCGACACCAGTATTACAATGCACCAACACCTGTATTACCACCAACTGACACCAGTATTACAATGCACCAACACCTGTATTACCACCAACTGACACCAGTATTACAATGCACCAACACCTGTATTACCACCAACCGACACCAGTATTACAATGCACCAACACCTGTATTACCACCAACCGACACCAGTATTACAATGCACTAACACATGTATTACAGCACACTCAACAGACCAACACCTGCATTACAATGCATGTACAGACACCTGTATTACTATCGTCTCTTGTATTATAACACAGATTCCATTATAAAACTCAAGTTAAATCAATATTGATGCATGGGTGTAGTTTATTTCATGCAAAAAAAATGAATGCTTTCCCGCATTTAAGTACCTACAAACTCAAGATGTGTGCTTTACTAAATTACTAAATAATTATTCTTATCACAAAAAAACAAAAATTAAAATACAATGTTCAATCCTTGATTTAGCAAATGTTGGTGGACAAACATCTATATCATGATCACACATCTACCAAAATACAACACATACATCTAACAAAATAAGATTTACAAATTTAACCCTTGATGATGTCCTCTGTTTATCGCAATGCATGCTGGGAAAATCAGCCTGTCAGTTGTCTAATTCAATTGTTTTTAACTTCAGATACACAAATGGATATTTGGATATTTCAATGTGGTCATGAATTATGTTATGTGAGGTCTTTGCAAAATGTTCTCACATCCAACAGATGTAAAATTATAGCTTCAGTTAGTACTAATAGCTCCGTTTGTAGCGAAACAGAAACAGAGAAAGTTATGTAAAAGTTTGATAAAAAATTAAAATATTTTTAAAAGTTGATTTCTAAAAATAAGCTCAGAAATGACATATCATTACATACAACTATTCACCATAATGCACTGCGATAAACATAATAACATATAATAATGGTTAAGGGCTAATTAGAACTAAGCATATTGAGTATATTTTTTATAATCAATATCATATAACTGATAATCTATAATTCTTTTTCAATATAATGCCAACCATAATGCAGATACAATACATTGCTTTACGAAGCACAATAATGTTTTAAATAAACATAAACCTCAATCACTACATTATCCTTTTTTACATTTATTCTAATTACAAACATATAACATATTTTCTATGTCCTATATAGGCCACTACAGAGAGCTGAATATTCTCAATATAAAATTGTTTAATGAATTATAATAATATTGCTAAGGTAAGTTAGCCATAGTTATGTCCAGATCCATGGGGGATCCAAAATAATATGTTAAATTGATAGGATTTAAAGCCTTGACCAATCTATCAAACTTGTGACATGCCTAAATATGGTAATGATGACATCTCATCATGACCATATATAGGCACACCATGACTATATATGGTCATACAACAGTTTTTTTTTGTCAAATTGATAATCTGGGCATGGCATTAGGGAAGGGTAGAAGTCTTGCAATCTGAGTTTTATTAAAATAAGTAAATATTTCAACCAAAATGAGAGTACAAGTAAAAACAAAACCAATAAATAATGCGAATTATTACCTGAAACTTAAAAATACAATCAGAAATTACTAAGCAACTTGATGCAAACAGCAAGTAAAAGTATTTTGTAAACAGATTCTAAAAAAATTGTTTCTTTTCTAGAATTATATAACTGAAAATAATCTGTATTCTACATCAAGCTGCAGATGGAAGTAACAGATTTAACTTCAAATCATAGCAGCATTCAGGCATCGATTTATTCTTTGAAAGTTAAATTGAGACGGAAATTACAAAATTTATTATAACAGAAACACCTCTGATAAATAGAGATTTAATTATCAAAAAAAAAAAATAATACTAATTTGTGGACAACTCTTGGTTCATTACCAAATTTCTGCACTGTTAACTAATGTAGGCAGACAAACAATCTAGAATCGATACAAAAAAAGCTGAATAATATGAACTTTAAAAGTACTAACAAGATTAAAGTATCATTTCTTTAAGAAGCTGCTGTCAGTTAAACTGATGGATTGGGTCCAATCCACCTGTTGTTCTCTTAGTTTCAAAGGAAATATTTCTGATAACTATGGATTTTACATTAATAGTGCTTGGGCTTTTAAATTTAAGTGGAAGAGAACATATAACAAAATCGGGTCAGAGTATGAATGTTGAGGTTTATGCATCATACCTATTAATTCATCGTTTACTGTACTTAAATCCGTATTCCTTATTATGCCCGTAAGTACAAGTGCCTAATAATATATGCAAATACTGTGGTGGATATGTATTGGCACCTGTATTTTATGTTGATTATAATGTTCTCATTTCATAATGACTACTAGCTATATTGAGATTTCAACCCTCTTGTAATGACCTATTTTTAGCAAATGTAGGCGGACAGTCTTCTTATAAATATACTTTCTACAGATTAATATTTTATAGAGCACAGTCGAGCAAAAGACAAAACCTAATTTGTTCACATTGATAATCAGTTTCATTAAAAATATTGTTTCTATCTGAAAATAAACAGTACCCAAAATATTAGTCTTACTAATTACACTGAGACTAATTACTAACAACATACCATAATTTCACAGATAATAAGAGTAAATACATTTCTTTGTTCTAAAAAAAATTCTATGTAGTATATTTCTTTGGTGAGGGTAATAACCAAAAATTTATTCCAGTTTTTGAAAATCTTTCAACCAAACACTATTTCTCTAATAAATTAAAAGTCCTATTTTAAATCAATAAACTATGTAAAAAAAATTATCCCAATTACCCTCTTAAGTTCCTTAAAAAATCTCTGATAAAAAATTTCTAATACTGGTAGCTTAACCACCGAAGACATAATTCAACTGGCTTGAGGCATCAATATTTTTAGGAATGGAAAAATATATATAAGCTTTTAATGCTTTGTCCCATTGCACCGATGAATAATATGATGTACCTACCACAGGTTTTCATAAATCATGGGTGCATTGCATGCATTAATTAGATATGATAAAAAAAAACAAACTAAAGGGACGGTCGCATCATAGAATATTAAACATGTTTAATATTCTCACAACAACCTAAAGAATGTGCTCGACTATAAACTGTGTCAATCTTCGTTGTAAGACGCTGTCTGATTTGAAACCAATATAGAGAACAGTGTGAAATATCTAGTAAAACAGCATAATATACCATTCAAAAATACAGTGATATGATTATAAAAGAAACAAAAAATGTTTACCAGTATTTTATAATCAGTGCATAAAGACAGAGCATAGCACCAGCGAGCAGCAACAAAGTGCAAATTTTACGTAGTAATAATAAATTTAACCATTGCCCTAAATAATTTGAATAGAAAATGTTTTTGTTGTCCACTGCGTACAGTATGGACTGTAATATACCAAGGACAGTATTTGTTACTGCCGTGTACCGCAGTTGTGCTCTATTTAAATTGTCACTTACAATTTTGAACAAATCACTATGTATAGGGTATAAATAAGTAAAATGTTTATGTGACGAAAATATATTGAGGCCATACTTAATAGCAGTATAATGTTATCATCCTTAACTGCATGAATGGATTGTGGGTAGGTTACATCAATACATGCTCAACGAGTGTTGCAAAAAACTACAGTATATAGCCACTTTAAATAAGCCATTGTTACTAAAAAAACATTAATTCTACACATATATTGTAACAATTCATATCAGGCCAAAAAAAAACCAAACATGCATTATTGTTTATACTTTGTAAATTCATTAAGAACAACCTCCATTTCGAATAGTAGTTAACTCCAGCTTTTTTATACATTTCATAAGTAGCATTCTTATGAATATATGCCATAAAGCATGCGTAATATCAGAATGTATTCTCAAACGGAAAGGATGCATTCATATTGGCTGAAAATTATCACGTCATTGTCAGTATAAATCCATTCATTGTTGACTAACCATCATCAATCTATAATAACATCACCAGTCTACTTGAAAAAGCGAACGGATCGTTCGCGAAACGTAGTGCCAGTACTATTGTTTTTTATTTTGCTGAATCAACACTAATGAAAAATTTCATACAAATTATAGAATGAAGCAGGTGTTGGCAAAACCCTCTCTATTTTGCCAGGATTTAATTTTCAAGATGTCAGCCCATATACACTCGGGCAAGATCAATAATGTACTTATAAAATCCTACAGTATTTGTTATGGCCAGCTTGGTATTTATGCATGTTAATATATTAGACTGGATAAGCAATTCATTTTGAGTAGCCATTATTGAATTACATTATCATAACTTTCCTCATTTTTATTAATTTCTGATTAAATAAACTTAATTTGAAGTTTAATATATGCAAAACAATTTCAGAGAAATATTTTTTTGCCAGATTGACTCACAATGTATTCAACTGAGTCCTAGTTCAGACTAGGTGGATAAACCCGGCTCAACTCACCGGGTTTATCCACCTGCCAGTCTGAACTAATTGGCTTATCTCAAGCCGAGCTGTGTTCTTATAGTAAATAGGCCTGGCGCGCCACCGTGTTTAACTTTTTTAAGCCGGGCTTTAATCATTGCGGGGGTGTCTTGCATTGACTTCGGGTGACGAAATGACCAATCAGCATTCAATTACGTACGCTATGAGCGAGCGTACGTTTTGCGAGTGCAATGTTTTGAAACATGTTTCCTGGTTACGGTTCTCGCCTGGCTAAACCCGCTAGTCTGAACGCCCAGCAAAGTTAAGCTGGGCTTAACATTGAGCCGGGCTTAACTCAAGTCTGGCTTATCTCCAAGTCTGAACGTAGCCATAATGTAGTAAAAACTTCCACAACAGATTACATGTTAGCAGTGCTAGAGATGAACAAGAGTCAATATATTGGCAGGATGGAGTATCTACTGAAGTTTAGCCTGAGGTAGGTAGACACTGTGGTTTTTACAAGTTTTTCATGGGTTTATATTATTTAGCATGATATTGAGAATTATAACCATTATTTACCATTAACTTTTGTAAAATATGTAAACAGATATTCTTTACAAATCTTAATAAAAAATCCACTACCTCCTGAGCATCTGTTGAATATGAAAAATAAAGATTAAAAATTAAAACAAATCTTAACTTTTTTCATTTCTGCCAGTAGAAATGTGTACCAAATTGTACATGCTTGTATTTTTGTTCTTCTATTGAAGGTCTAGCTGCATGCTATATATATTAAAACCCTGTCACTGAAGTTCTTGCAGTAGTCTGTATATAACTTACCTATTTAGATCCTCTCATCAAAAATATGTCAAGATCTAAATGGAATTCAATGACCTACAGTGAAAAAAAAGTTTTAATTTAGGAATTTATAACTAAAATGTTTTTAACAGAATTCAACCTAACATGCAAGAAGAAATTGAGGAGTATGAAATCAGTGAGGCACAAAAGTCTAGGTCATCATTTTAGCAATAATTTTAGACAATAGTGATGATCAAAATGATTTTCCACATACTCCTTGTGTTCTCCTTCTACTCTCCTCTGAGTCTGCCTCTGAAATCTAGATTCACTTGAGGCTACAGGCGCAAGTTATCCATTGTTAAAAAAAACAGATATAAAAAAAAAAAACCCTACATCCAATAATGTCATAAAAAGCAGATTAAAAAAAAGATTTTCTATTTTAATTATTGATAAGCTGCAAAAGATTTGTGAGAAATGACAAATAATAATAATCATATATTATAAATTAAAAATCTGTGGTACACTACACAGATAGTTCTGAAAAGAACTGTTGTTTTTTTTAGAATGTCATGAGATATTCTCAACAAAAACAGTTCTTTTCAGAACTATCTACGTGGTGTACTGCAAGCTTGCAATATATTACTACTTGGTCATGCAAACCTTCAAACAATAATACACTATAATTGAATGGAAAACATTACTGAAAAATAAAATTACAATATGAGTTACTTACCCTAACCGCCTATCTAAAGCTATATATGTATGCTTGCTGACGAATCTACCAAAATGTTTAAGGGCATTGGGATTTGCTTGGTATGAAGGTGCTATTGCTGTGTCAATTGCACAGATTTCACTTGCCAAACCATTAACTTTATTAGTCCTTAGGAGGAAAAAAGAAAAGAAAAACTATTAATTAGGATAAAAAATGCTAAAATGCATCCTAGTAATGGTAAAACAGTGTTTGTTGTGCATTCAAAAAATTACAAAATAATATCAAGTACCTATTAATATTCTTGGGAGGAGAAAGATGTAGAAAAGTATATGCCAAGAGACATAAGCATTCATAACATGGGTTTTGAACCCCGGACCTCAAGTTTCAAAGCCTGACTTGCATCCAATTTTCCCACAAAGAAAAATTTTATATGAAACTATCAGACTGTCTGTGAACAATAGACCATTAAAATTTGTCCAGATTATCAAATGTTAATGCCCATATATAGTCATGATGTGCCCATATATAGTCATGATGTGCCTATATATGGTCATGATGTGATGTCATCATGACCATATATAGGCATGTCGCATGTTTTTGTCAAATCAAATTTGATAGTCTGGATGTGGTTTTACACTACATGTTTACAAGACAGTACAGCATATTCAAATTTCATTAGCTGGCATCAGTTACTGTTTTCTTGTCACTAATTTCAACACAATCACCCGTAAGTAATGAGCTCTTCCATTATAACCTGGTTCTGTGTGGTTGATTGTAAAAATACAAAAAAATGCTCCACAAATAGTTCTCACTTTATCGTGATTAGCAAAATATTAAACTCAAAAGGATTTTTGAATAAGGATAATAATACTAACAAAAATGCTAATTCCATCCTGATATTATCTAGCATTTCATTGATGTTTCTAAAAATTCTTTCTGTTGCCTTTGCGAATCTGCTTAAAATATTGTTGATGCATTTAACAATGAAGGATGTGTAGATTCCTCGTAGAAAGATGAAATTGGTTTCATATTTTGTGACAAGGTTTCTCTTTAAAACCTTCTGGTTAATCTCAAATATAATATAAGCCAACATAAACTTCTCTTTTTAAGCTTTTAAAAGGTGATTCTTATCGTTAAATTTGTGAAGCATGCTGAAAGTTTGCTTAGGTTGCCATATGAAAAAAAACAAAATTAGTCGATCCACACATGCATAGAGCACAAACATTCTATACTGCATGAAAAACAAAAACAGGACGATGACCTGTGAAAAGGAACACACACAGAGAATAGGCAGGTGCTTTGGTTGACAAAGAATGAAATTAACACACAAATTCATGAATCAGAACAACAAATGCTAGGAAACAGGAAATGCTGTACTGACTAAAACATCAAGATTAAAAAGACATGTGACTCACCAGGCCTCTTGCGTTGCATTGTCGATATCCACCAAGGAGCTGTTGGTATAGATGTCCTCTGCTTGGTTTACTAGGCCAAGTACCACAGAAGATCCAAACTGAGAAAATAATTAACACAATTTTAATTTAGAAAAATAAATTAATCATCATCATCACTATTCCCACCACCATGACCATCATCACTATCACTCTCTTCATTGTTATCTTCTCATTTTCATATATTTTATCAACGATATAGCTAGGTGCAAAAGGGCCCCAGTGAAAAATAAATTGCCGGACCTTTTGATGTGATGGGGGCATTCCCTAAAGTTCTCAGAAAATCCATCATAAGAAGTGCTTCTTTCACCCTCTACTCCTAAAGGCATTGGCTAGTATACTAATGGTAATCGGATTCGTAACTATTTTAAGCAGTGCATATTTGGTCTCAGCAGCTGTTCTCAACTAAGCAAGAAAATTGGTAGCACATAAAATTAAACATTGCAGTGGTGGATCAGGGAATTCGAAATAGAGGGGCCAGGCAGGAATTTTCACAGGTAGAGGGTGAAGACCCAAAAAAATTATGATTATAGCACCTCACTTCAATTATAGCACTCTAAGATTTAAATTTTGAATGTAATTCCCTATGTTTCCCCATTTATTTTGTTAAATTTAGAATCTTGAATCTTGAATAAACTACTGAATAGAAATAAACACAGTTATCAATAATTACTCCTCTAAAAACCGAATATTATTGAGGGGCCTGCTGGCCGTTATTTTCTACAAAAATATTAAGTTGGAAATTATTTTAAATTATTATTTTTAGGTCTACTTATGAATAGGACCCCTAATAACACTGGGCTCCAGTGTTTTTCACTGGCTGCACTGTCCGTAGCTATGCCAATGTATTTTTTATTTTATTCCTTTCAGCAGTAAAACATTAAAAATACAAAATAAAAGAAGAGAGCTGCGAAGAGACGAAAACGGTTAAAACTACTATCGCCAAAGTGTGCGCCTCTCCAACACCTACTTCCATAAAGAAATAAAAAAAATGAATCATAAAAGCTAATAAGAACCAAACTAAAATTCTCACATCCACCCTAAAAAAAAGTTGTCAATTCAAAAAGGCAATTATTTATTTTACAATTAAATATGTTAAAAATTTAATTTATTAAAATTGGTAAAAAAAATATATTTTTTAATAAAAAAATCCTATACTATATCTTGTGCTTTTGAAAGTAACTTTTGCAGATGGCATTTGTAGCACTAAATCAAAATTTAAAAATTGAAATGTTTAAGAGATTTCCGATCAGTCGGGCCTGGGCAATACAGCTTTGTTTTGGCCTCATCATTATAATAATCATTATAAAAATCATTATAATTGCTGTCTTTGTTGTCATTATTGCCATGCAACACCAGTATATGAGTTGATTATTGTAATATTGTAATAATTTTATTTCAGATATATCAGTCCATAGCACAAAACAAAATATGAATAATAACAGTCATCATATTTCATAATCAAAATATTTCAAACCAAAATATCCTGTACTATACTATATATTTTCTATTCGATTGTTATTCACTTCATCTACCTCCATCTCACCTTATGTTGCAGAGCCATGGTAACTTGTGTTGGTTTAACAGGTTTCTCCTCATGTGAAATCAGTTGACTTACAAATGAGGTCAGCTGACTTAGTTCGGCAGACTGAATCACTTTCAACAAAGGGGGATACATAGCTGGTAGCGTCTGTGTGATAAACATACAGGCAGAAATGATGATTCAAAGGGGAACTGTGATGACAAATAAAAAATGCTGCCTCATAAAAGGAAAAAATTACAACTTACAAGTTCATTAAATAATAATAATAATAATAATAATAATAATAATAATAATAATAATAATAATAATAATAATAATAATTTAGTTAAAGACATATTGTCCCTTGAAAATGACAACAAAATCGTAAAAAAATAATTTTAAAAATAACTTGCTCAGTTTGCATTTTCATACAAATACCTTTCACAAGATTTACACATAACATGCTCAATATATTTTATAAACTAAATTTAAGTCATAAAACTGTGTTACAAGGCTTAGGAACTGGTCATGTGAAACCATTCTGTCACTTTAACAGAAATTAAACACAAGCAAATTAACACTTTAACCAGCAAGCTACAGCTTCAATACTAATTATTCACAACAGTTTTAATATCAGCTTAACAGCAAGCCATTTATCACCACATACAGAATACAGTACCACCATGAATATGAATTGGGTCATAGGACGATGAGATCAACTTAGAAATAGAAGTTTAATGGAAATAATATTGAACATTTAAAAAAATGTCAGTGCTAGATATTTTGTCCTAAATTAAGATATTATCAATTCCTAAATTTGTTAATAACTATGACATTTGTAATAATTTTAATATTGGCTTCAAATCTTCTATTGCTGTTTAAACAAAATCTACCGTCTTTGCTTTCGGTTACTAGTTTACTAATTTATATTGACAGTTCCATCATTATATTCTTCATTTCATCATTATTAATAATAATATGTAGGACTTATTTCATGCCAACAAAGGTCTGTAAGTGCTCCACATTATTATCCCCAGTTACTGGATCAAATAGAACACATACTCAGCTCCCTGGGAAAAATTCTATAGTGTTGCAACTTTTAGTAACTACATTTTTGGAATCTTTGACTATGCTTCCAAAATAAATAATTAAAAGTAATGATTATCCACTAAATTTCTGGAAAAAATATATCATCAATCTTCCCAAATGATAAAATAAATATTGATAACAAATTTTATACAGAGTACGGTACCTCTTGATGCATTTCCTTCTTAGCATCCTGCATCTCTCTCTTTATAAGTATGCTAAGATTCTTTAGCACTGCTTCAACCACCAAACAAGAATAATGAGAATCTAGAACGTCTAAGGATCGACCAATCAGCTTTCTCCCCTTTCGCACAGAAACAAGATTTATAAATTGATCATCCAAAGTCCTACAATAAAGAAAAGTTTCAACATTTTTTTTAAAAAGCCCATTTTTTTTAATCGGTTTAGCCATAAACCAATAAGAAAAATATTTTTAAAATAAATTTGAAAAATGCTTAAAAATTTCTGTTAGTCATGAGTCAAGGATTACCCAGGGTTAGAATAGAATGCAACATTTCTTAAATCTACTTTAGGAATACGAAGACCACTTTCTTCACTGAACAATTTATGAGTAACATTTAATATCTAAAAAAACAAACACCATCTTTCAATTTACCTTTACGTTAAATTGCATTTTAAATGGAATATGTTTTAAGCATCATTATTTCAATTCGGCAACTATAGCAATCATGTCCATTATCAAAACAATTGCAGGGTTATTAACTGCTTTTGAACTGAATCAATTTGGCTATGAAAACTACTAAATTTCTTCTAAGTGGGCTTGTTGAATGCATGTCTGATTAATGAAAACATATAACGAATCTCGCTTAAAGCTACTTAATTGCAACAGTGAGTTCTAAGTGTATGCATCATAAATTCACATAAAGTAACATCATCTAGGCTTTATAGTTTTGATCAAAGG